TGCTCACATCCCAGTAAGGAAGTGAGAAAAAAGGAAGGAAAAAGTTCAGAACATTTCTTTCTCCTCTTTCCCCTGTTTAAAGCTGTCGGTTGGATTCAACAAAATGCCAGCCACACCTGATAAAAATCTGCAAATGAAAATTTTAAAATGCAGGATCTAGGTTATTCCGGGGGAATGCCCGTTATGCCGTGACATAATCGTGAAACCTATTTAATTTGAAAAAGAAGAGAGATGTTTTTGCTTTTTGGTGGTTTTGTTTTTATTCATCAAAAACAAAACACCCCTCATATACCAGACTGTTAGTTTTAAAACAGAAGTCTGGAAACCCTGTCTTCACCCAGAGGAGACCTCCAAAGGTGACAAATACCTCCTCTCCCTTCATCCCAGCCAAGAGGAGAAGGAAGGAGGGGGGAACCACTTCAGACCTTGTGTCAGGGTTTGTTTATCTTAGATTTACTGCTAGTACATATTCATTTACATGTTCTATAAGTGTAACCTTCTGGTTCCTGGCAGGAGGTCGCAGGCTGAATGAGCACCAAGTGGGGAATTAATACCAGCAGAGGCCAGTGGAGTGGTTTCCAACACTTGGTCAATCCCCTGAAGTCCTCTGTGCCTCTAGCTTTCCTTTCTTTCCTCTACAGTTGGCCCAGCTGTTGCTCAGTTTCCAGGCTCCTGTGATGTTTACACTCATGTTCTTTTTTTTTTTAAATTTAATTTATTTACTTATGGCTGTGTTGGGTCTTCGTTTCTGTGCGAGGGCTTTCTCTAGTTGCGGCGAGCAGGGGCCACTCTTCATCGCGGCGCGCGGGCCTCTCACTGTCGCGGCCTCTCTTGTTGCAGAGCACAAGCTCCAGATGCGCAGGCTCAGTAGTATGGCTCACGGGCCTAGTTGCTCCACGGTATGTGGGATCCTCCCAGACCAGGGCTCGAACCCGTGTTCCCTGCATTGGCAGGCAGATTCTCAACCACTGCGCCACCAGGGAAGCCCTACACTCATGTTCTTAATGTCAGCAGTCACAAATCCCTGTCAGGAAAGCTCCTTTCCTCTGCCCTTTTCTGAAAGGCTCCTCAAACCATTGCAAGATTATCTATCTATCCTCACAAGATATATTTTTTAATATATCCCACAAGCAAACTTTTCTGTTTATGACAGGTCTGCAATAATAGTTGCACATACGTTGTAAAACATTATGCATTCTTAACGTAACATTAAAACACAAATTAGGGAATTCCCTGGTGGTCCAGTGATGGGGACTCCGTACTTTCACTGCCGAGGGTGCAGGTTCAGTCCCACGTGGGGAGCTAAGATCCTGCAATCCAGGCACCTCAGCCTGAAAAAAAGAAAAATGCTGCCCATTCTTAACTACTCCCCGCATTAAGAAGTGGAGTCAATGCTTCCCCTTGAATCTGGCCTGACTATAGTGACTCGCTTGGTGGAGTGCAGCAGAAATGACCTTCTGTGACTTCTGATGCAAGGGCAGAAGAAGTGGGAACAATCTCTTCCTGCCCTGAGCCACATCCAAATACTCTGAGGTCTTCACACTTAAGAGACCCGGTGGACCAGCTCTGAGATTTCACGAGGATGCAGAGATGCACAGCCAGACCCCAGCTGTCCAGCCTGCAGCCATTTGTGTTTCCCCAGCTGTGGCTCCAGACATGGTGAGCAGGGAGGAGTCTTTTCTGATGTGCCCTCGAGAAATTCCTGACCTGCAAGATTATGAAAGATAAGAACAAAGTGGTGGTTCGTTTAGGGCATGATTTGGGGGTTAGTTTGTTAGGTAGCAATAAATAATAGAAACTAAACCCTTTCCCCATTGAAAAACATTTGGGTTGTGTCCACTTTTTCTCCATTGCAAACTGTCCTGTGCATGTACTACTATTTTTTTTAATATGTAAATTTCTCTAGGATAGATTCTCAGATACAGAATTGCTGGATCAAAGAGCTATCCTCTCTCCATTTCTCTAGCCTGTGTTTTTGGTTTTTTTTAAACATCTTTATTGGAGTATAATTGCTTTACAATGGTGTGTTAGTTTCTGCTTTATAACAAAGTGAATCAGTTATACATATACATATGTTCCCATATCTCTTCCCTCTTGCGTCTCCCTCCCTCGCACCCTCCCTATCCCACCCCTCTAGGTGGTCACAAAGCACCGAGCTGATCTCCCTGTGTCTAGCCTGTGATTTGATAGGTGTTGGCAAGTTTCCCTCTAGAAAGAGTGTAGAAAAGTGGTCTTTTCCTTCACTTTCCCGAATGTTTTTGATGTCTCACTTCATCATCCTGTGTTTCACTTGCTTAAATCTAAATGGGAGAATAACCTGCCTTACAGGGTTTCAATCAAGAGATCAAAAGGGAAATCTGAATAACACCTTACAAACAAAACGTCATCTACTATGATATGGGACCTTGATCACTTGGGGATGAGACTCCTCTGACCTCATCTTCGTCCTTTTCCCGAGATAGCCTATGCAATCCTGTCTTCTCATTTCTCTCTCTTTCTCTTTTTTCATGCACACACGATATGAATACATGTGTGCCTTATATGTACATGCATATGTACAGATACATGCTATATGAGTGTTTACTATATCAACTTGAACATTTCTATGGGAACACTTATAAATACTTGAATCAAATAAATAATATTGTTAAAAATTACAGTAGAGGGAGTTTCCTGGTGGTCTAGTGGTTAGAATTTGGCGCTTTCACCACTGTGACCCAGGTTCAATCCCTGGTCGGGGAACTGAGAATCCTTGAAGCCGTGAGGTGCGGTCAAAAAAAAATTACAGTAGAAAATTAAAGCTGCAGTTGTATTTGTCATGACATCTAGTGCTTCTGGGAATAAGCTAATCACCAGCTGGAAACAGGAAGAAATTTGACTTGTAATACAGAGTATAAAAGTGGATCCATTATAGGAAATTTGTACTTCTTCTGGGGATGGGGCACACTAGATAATATTTGTCCATACAGAAAAGAGCCCTAGAGTCTGAAGCAGAGTTCAGCATATTGTATACTACCCTTTCCACTGTATTTTGAGCAACAAGTGCATCGTTTAAATATATATACTTCTATGCTAGTGTTCTGCAATGAAAACACCCCAGGAACACTGCAGTTACTGCTTCATTGCTGTTGTCTCTCCCCCACCCTGCAGGGCCAGCTGGTGACTGCTGGATCTTTGCTGACCTCCCTTAGTTCCAGTTCTTCAGTTCAGGAATAGTCCAGGCATTATTGTGTTGAATATCTACCCTTCTCTCCCTTCATTTGCCCTCACAGCATCTGATTAGACATTCAGCCTTGTCCCAAATCTTCTGTCAGTGCCATGACCTGCACTGCATCCCTTTAGCATCATGAATCACCAGTTGGTAAAAATATTTTAAGAAATTAAACATAATGTTTAGAAGAAAGTAGCATGATTATAGGTTTAGGAATATCTGCAGAAGAAGCACATTTGTGAGAGAAGATGCTTATATTTGGCCCTTGAAGGATATTTGGTGAAGAATTATCATCACAAAACTCAACAGGATCAACTTCGTTTCTGAGATTTTTGGAATCAGCCTGGCCTGAAAAGGAGGAAGTGTGTTTTAGGTATACCAATTAAAACGAACAAACACCCTTATGCTTAGATGCAAAACTCATTGAAAAAAAAAAAAGAAAAGGAAGAAAATAATTATTAGTAATTCTAACCATCTATGAATATTTTGGAAGTGTTTCCTTTGGTCAATAGGATGATACACTGTTTCATTCTTCTTAATTATATCATTTCTCCAAGGAGATAAATACTTTCTACAACATGAGAATTTTAACTCTTGACTTTGAGATAATTTTAGACTTTAGAAAAGCTGTAAAAGTATTACAGAATTCAGATATGCCCTTCATCCAGCTTCCCCTCATGTTATCATCTTACATAACTATATCATGTACAACAATCAAAACTGGGAAATTAACTTTGGTACACTACTATTGTCTTAACTGTAGACCTTATTTGGATATCTATATTTTATTCTATAGTTCTCCCTTTTCTGACCCAAGATCCAATCCAGGCTCCCACATTGCATCTACTTGTCATGTCTCCCTCATTCCCAAAATGTAACATTTCCTCGGTCTTTCCTTGTCTTTTATGACTTCGACACTTTTTTTTTTTGACTTTGACACTTTTGAAGAGTACTCGTGAATTGTTTTGTAGGATGTCCATCAATTTGAATTTGTTTGATGTTTTCTCATAATTAGAATGTGGTTTTGCATTTCTGGCAAGAATATCACAAAAGAAATATTGTGTGCTTCTTGATATATCGTATTAGGAGTTTCACGGTGATGATGCTGACCTTGATCATTTGGTTAAGGGGGGATGTCTTCCAGGTTTCTCCACTGTAAAGTTAACAGCCACCCTCCCCTCCCCCCATTAATAAATATCTTGGAGAGATGCCATGCAAATTTCTGTTTCTCCTCAGACTTTCACCCACTAATTTTAGCATCCATCCTTAGATTTTGCCTGCTATAGTCATTACTGTAGTATCCTTAATGATTTCTTTCCCCTCATTCTTTCTACATTTATTGATTGGAATCTTTCAGTAAGGTGGAGTTGTCTCTTCTCCCCTATTTATTTATTCAGTCATTTATTTATATCAGTATGGACTCATGGGTATTTCTTCTACAGGTTATGACCCAATACAATTATTATTTATTTTGTTGTTGAAATCTACAACATGACTTAAATGGCAGAACAGTATTCCAATTACACGTCTGTGATATGAATTATTGATCCAGTTCTTCAATGTTGGACTTTCAGGTGGTTATTTGATACTATTTATGATGTCTGATATCTATAAATCTTTGAGTTTTTATGTGTTTTCATAAATTAGATTTCTAACAGCGGAATTATTGATGTTTGAAAAGTTGTGAAAACTGGCAACATGGAAATCAGTCCACACACCTAACCCAGACTACCAGGCTGTGAGCAGAAAGAAGCAGTAGATGCCGCGGCTCACGAAGGCCCCTGCCGGCAGGGTCACTGAACACAGTTGTCAGTAACAATATTAACAATAAAGTTATTGATGTTGAGGAAGGGACTTCTGGTAGGGGCATGTCTATTTCCGTTAGGGCCTATATCCTTCGCCCTCTCCGTTTACATCCCAACCGGAAATACTTGTACCCCGTTTAAAGCCACGTCAGTCCTGGCCTCAGTCCCGCCCACGCGGGGGGAAGCGTTTCCGGGGTCAGGGTATTCCGGTTCGCCCCGCCCCGCCGCCGGTGCAGTGCTGGAAGACCCGGTTCTCCCGGAAGTGCCCCGGACATCTCTCTGTCGGGGTTCCCACCTACCCCCCTGCTGCTGCTGCGGGCCGCTGGGGCGGTGGCAATGGCGGAGGCGGCGCTGCTACTGCAGCCGGAGGCGGCGGCGGAGCGGGACGCTCGGGAGAAGCTGGCTCTTTGGGATGGGAGACCGGACACGACAGCGCCACTGACCGACCGGCAGACGGACTCGGTGCTGGAGTTGAAGGCGGCGGCCGAGGACCTGCCCGTACCCGCCGAGGTGAGGTGACGGGCGGGAGCTGGGCTGGGCTACTCCGCGGGCGCGCCGGCGGACCCCGACCTTGCAGACCCTTGTCCAGGGTCTCTCCTCTCCTCCCCATCACAGTGTCGGCTCCGGTGGGAGAGGCCCCTCACCTTCCCGGACTGTTAGGCCTCACGTTGTCCCGGACCGCCGACTCTCCCCTCCGGCGTGGGGACGGCTGCGGGGGCGTCCAGCGGCTGCTGGCCGCCGGCACCCATCCCGCCCCCTGCGGCGTGGGGCGGTTGTCCGGGAGCCTTGCCCCGGGCATCTTGCCCCGGGTGTCCCTGGTGTTAGCGAGGCATAGTCCTGCTGCCCACCCTCTCCCGGAAGGAGAAGGCACTGAACCCGAAGTGCTTTGCTTCAGCACAGCCTCCTGTTGGTATTTGTTTACCACCTTAATGAATAGCCCAGCTTCCTTTTTCCATAGGGGCACTTGGGGAGACCAAAGTTGATTCCGGGTGACAGCTTCATTCATCGCACATTGAGCAATGAGCTCTCGATCAAGTGCAGGTTGTGGGAGATCCGATTTATATTTGACTTATAGCAAAGCAATAAAAATTTTTCTTTGAAAGCTGGGTCAGTACATTATTAGATAATGCTGGTTGTCGGTTTTAGTGTCAACGTTTTTAATCCTAATTGCCATTGGGATATTATCCCTAATACTGCTTGTGTGATTCAATTCAATTAGTTATAATAGCAAGAAGTACATTTTATAAGTAGTCAGATGTTTGACAAACTTCTAGTTTTGAGGGCTAGGTTTAGGCGGTTATTATTTTATTAGCGCTGATGGTTACTTTTGATGTTGGAAGCATTCTCTTTACACGGTTGTGTCCAAAGGCAGACTGAGTTTAGAGACTTAAACTTTTTTTGCCCTCACACTTCAGAGGTTAAGAACTTTGGTTTGAAAGTTCTCGCCACTTTTCGCCGTTGCACACTCTGCCATAAAGTACAGGTGTTCTTTCTTGGGTTTCTCTGTCCACCTCTAGGATTTTGTGCTGGAAGTGTGTTTGAAATAAATGAGGAAGCAGTTGGAAATTTGTTTTGGCGTGGCTATCAGAGTCTTTTATGCTCTGGGCAATAGAAGTTGTTTGCTCTATAAATATTTCAGTCTGTTTATAATTGATTTGGCCTCTCGCCAAAGCAGGATGCTTGGGCATCACAGTACCTGTGGTGAATGTATTCCATAAGCAAAGTAACCCATTTTATTTTTAATGTCTTGGGCCATAAAATATTATTATTCCCACTGAGCATGAAGGAAAGGGTTTGGAGTGAAGTAAAGGAGATCTCTTCATTTTCACCCCATTATTTGATATTTATGCAACATAATACCTACCATTAGCCCCATGCAGTCATTTAACATATATTATGTGCTTACCTGGGGCTAGGAATGGGGGGACAGAAAGATAAAAACAAGATCCCTAGCCTCAAGGAACTGACATAATTATGGTGATTATGAGCATGTGAAAAAGAACAAAGAAGGTAAGTTCAGACAGTCCTCCAGGATATAAGGAAAATCAAACAGGATGGTATGACACCAAGGAATGAGGTGTGCCCTTTTAGATAAAGAGGAAAGGCCTTTCTAAGAAAGTAACCGCCTCAGGCAAGAACTCATGATGGAAAACAAGAAGCCAGTCTTGCAAAGACTAGAGAAATAACCTTCCAGCTGGAGGAAAAAGCAGTGCAAAGCCCTGGGTAGGGGATGAGCTTGACAAGTTCAAGGGTTCAGTGAAGGTTTTCTGGTACATGCAGCCTTGGCATTGGATTGCTGTGAGAATGAAATACCAGCCTGTTATTTATCCATCCTGGAATCTTTGAGGGGGAATTTCTCATTGCTCTTCAGCTTTCGACAGCCCTCTTTTTCCTTTATATGTCTGGTGGGAAAACTTTGGAATTGAATTTTTTATCCGTTACCACTCTTTTAACACCGGCACTGAGAAAGAATGCCTCAAGTTTTATTTGGTCCGACCAAAATAAAAACCTGTAAAGGATTTTCTATAGTGTTTCACAATTTTCAGGAGATAAATTACATCCTGAACAACTGGAACTGGGCAAGTTAGTTGAATAGCAAGAGGCCAGCTAACTCTGAGCAAATATCATGAAGCTGTTTATAGCTTTCCTTTTTATTTAGGAGAACTAGTCTTATATACCTTTTTATTTGGTGTTAGATAAGAAAATTTGCAGTAGAATATTAAGTAGACTGGTTTCTTGTAGCCAGGGCAAATTTTTTAGTAGTGAGGGCCTTTTTCTTTCTGCTGAGTTTAGTAATTCTTGATAAAATGCTGAGATAATTTATCCTGAAATTTACCTGTAATTTACTGTTACAGTTGTTGTTTTCCTAAAGTTTGTGTGGCCTTAGACATGATACTTAACTTCTCTGAACCTGTTTTCTTCTTTATAAAATGGGGGTTATAATAGTACTTGCGTCACAGGGAGTTGTGAGAACTAAATGAAGTATATAAAGTGCACACAGCAAGCTACCTGCCAGTATTATATTATTCATGTGCTTTTCTCCCCAAATGATTATTACCTTAAAATAATAGATTAGAATGTTATGATCCTGAGCTGGTACTGTGTAGGTGTCACTCAGACCAAAGGTAAGAAAAGAAGAGGTTAGGTGCCTGGAGGAAGGTTCTGAGACTCCATCTATACCTCTTCAATGATTTGCTCCAAACAGAGTAGGTAACGTCAGGTTTCATTTATGGAATGAATTTATTAGATTGATTACAGAAGTGATTTTCTCCAACCCAGAACCGTGCAAGAAGTAAAGTTTGGGAGAGTAAGGTATATTTGCTTGTTTTTTCCTGGAGCTGCTCAGCTGCTCAGGCAAGGCTTGATAGTTTATTGTAATTAGTATTTAATATGTTAGTGTCCCCATTTGTGTAAGCTGTACAGTAGCTATCCAGGACCAACCAGGAGCCTAGGTCTCTGCTCTTCTCTTTCTGGTGGTAAATGTCTGCTCCATCTGGAAGCCAGGACAGTGCGAGTAAGCCAGAGGCATTCGGTCAACATCTCTTCGGGAGTGAAAGAGTAGTCAGAACAGGAAAGTTTGTGACACCAGCACACCCTTTTTTTAAAATAGTTCTACCATTTATATTATATTATTTTATTTTTTTAACATCTTTATTGGAGTATAATTGCTTTACAATGGTGTGTTAGTTTCTGCTGTATAACAAAGTGAATCAGCTATGCATAAGCATGTATCCCCACATCCCCTCCCTCTTGTGTCTCCCTATCCCACCCCTCTAGGTGGTCACAAAGCACCGAGCTGATCTCCCTGCAACACACCCTTCTTTATTTGCCATTCTCTTCCAGCTGCTTTGAGAAAAGAAGACAGCTGGGCAAATGTACCTAATGGGGGCATCTTCTCATAAGCTTTTATTTTTTTAATTTTTTTTATTCTGGCTACGCTGCGTGGCTTGCGGGATCTCATTTCTCCGACCAGGAATTAAACCCAGGCCATGGCAGTGAAAGCGCCGAGTCCTAACCACTAGACCACCAGGGAACTCACTCATAAGCTTTTAAAAAAAAATTATTTATTCATTTTGGCTGTGCCAGGTCTTAGTTGTGGCATGCGGGCTTCTTGGTTGTGGTATGTGAACTCTTAGTTGCGGCATGCATGTGGGATTTAGTTCCCCAACCAGGGATCGAACCCAGGCCCCCTGCATTGGGAGCTCGGAGTCTTACCCACTGGACCACCAGGGAAGTCCCCTGATTTGTGTGATTTCTGATAAGTCTGCTTTAATTCTTATTTTTGTTCCCCTGTATATAATGTATCTTTTTCTCTCTGACTGCCTTAAGGTTTTCTCTTTGACTTTTGATTTTCTCTCTGAGTTTGAATGTGATGTGTCTAGGGGTGGTGTGTGTGTGTGCACACGCACACATGCATGTGCATTCTGCTTGGGATTTTCTGAGTTCAGAATTGTAGCTTTGTGTCTTTCATTATTTTTGGAAACTTCTCAACTATTATCTCTTTAAATATTTCTTCTACCCTGTTCTCTCTCTCTCTCCTTATTTTGAGATTCAGATTACACATATATTAGATCATTTTATACCATCCCACAGTTCTTGGATGTTGTGTTCAGTTTTTATTTGTCTACTCTGTTTCTTCTTTATGTTTAATTTTGGGTGATTTTTATTGACCTATCTTCAAGTTCACTGATTCTTTCCTTAGCTGTGTTGAGTGTACTGATGAGTTTATTGCAGGTATTCTTCACCTCTGTTACAATAATGGTTATTTCCAGCATTTCTGTTGGACATGTATAGTTTTTATCTTTCTGCTTAACTTCTGCATCTGTTCATTCATTTTATTTATATTTCATACCAGAGCCTTTGACATATTAGTTGCAGTTATATAGTTCCAATATCCAGATCATCTCTTGAGTCTGGCTCTGTTGAGTGCTTCGTTTCTTGACAATGAGCTGGGTTATTTTCCTTGCTGTTTAATGTAACTTTTGGTCAAATACTGTACATTGTATGCAGGACATTTGAGAATGAGGGAAATAGTGTGAATGCCTGGAAATGAATACACTTAACTCTGTTAGGTCATTAGTGTGGAGGTTTGGGTTAGTGGGCTAGGTTTGGGTTTTGTTTTTGTTCTGGTTGCTTTTAGTTTACCACTGGCTTCAGACTTCTCTTTCATTACTTTTTGCCTAGCATTGGGGCTGGGCTGCTGCGGAGTCTTCTTAACCTTCCTTCTCAACCCTCAGCTTTTGGTGTGCTGTGCGCCTGTGTCTCAGAGGGTGTCTGTGCTCTTGCCCCTCCCACAGGAGAGCATTGCTGGCGCTCTATAGCCTGGTGGTGGTAGGTGGGCGTTTTCTGTCATCTGCGTCCAGCCTCAGTCTTAGGCAGGCCTTTTGCCCCTGGGACTCAGGGGTGGAGTTTCTTACTGACTCTGCCCTCCTCCGGCAGTAGGAGACCTCTGATGTTCTGGGTCTTGGGTTCTTTCTTGCCTCTCCTCCAAGGGTAATGGTTGTTTTCTTTTCCCTTTCCCCGGCTGTAGTGTGTTCTCCCCTGTGCCCTAGGGTTGATAGGGCTTGCTGCCCTTTTTTCAGTGTCTTAAGATTTTGTTCCACTGGGGAGAAGGGTCTGGATGGGGCTTTGTGCCCCACTTTCCCCAGGCCCCTCCTCTTCTGAGCCTGCACCACCAGTCCTCATTCTTTCTCATGAGCACCTGGTGGAGGTCCGTGAAGACCATGTGAGTGGGTGCAAATTCCCCTTGTGTCTGTGACTTCCAAGCATTCTGTACTCACCCGTCCTCTAGCATTTAGTAATTTGAAAGAAATTTTAGCCTAATTCTTACCTACTTGTGTGGCATTTGTCATCTATTTTTCCATAATCTGCCACGGTAAGCCCGTGCTCTCACTCTGTCTCTGCCTGGAGATACCCATCTTTTTCTAGATTTTAAGCTACTTAGTTACTCTGGAACCTCAACTCTCTGATGGCTTCAAGAACCTGATTTTGTAGATTATTTGTCTTTTTCTTATTATTAAGGTGCAAGCAACACTCTGTCTATCATTCTTTTAGCCTAGTCTCCATGTGCTTTCTGGTATATTTTTCAAATCTGTACCTGATCCATGTCTCTCTCCCTTTTCCTCCTTAGGTATCGTGTAAACAGTGCTGATAGAATTATGTGTTTGAATTTTGTCATGATCTGTTCATATATAGCTAAATTTTACTACTAATAAACTATAATTTTGTACAGGTAACTTAGACGATTCTGTTCCCAAGAAGCAGTATAGATTCTGATTTGTAAATTTACTTACTGTAAAAAGGGAACCCTCCTACACTGTTGATGAGAATGTAAATTGGTGCAGACACTATGCAAAACAGTATGGGGGTTCCTTAAAAGACTAAAAATAGAGCTACCATTTGATCCTACAATCCCACTCCTGAGCATGTATCAGGAGAAAACTCTACTTTGAAAAGATACATGCATCCCAACGTTCAGAGCAGCTCTATTCACAATAGCCAAGACATGGAAGCAACCTAAGTGTCCATCGACAGAGGAATGGATAAAGAAGATGTGGCACATATATACAATTACTCAGCCATAAAAAAGAATAAAATAATTCCATTTGCAGCAACATGGATGGACCTAGAGATTATCATACTAAGTCAGTCAGACAGAGAAAGAGAAATATCATATGATATCACTTATGTGTGGAATCTAAAAAGAGGCACAAATACTTATTTACAAAACAGAAACAGACTCACAGACATAGAAAACAAACTTATGGTTACCAAAGGTGAAAGTGGGGAGGGATAAATAAGGAGTTTGGGACTAATAGATACAAACTACTATATATAAAATAGATAAACAACAAGGATTTACTCTATAGCACAGGGAACTATATTCAATATCTTGTAATAACCTATAATGGAAAAGAATCTGAAAAAGAATATATACATATATATATATACACACACACACACATATTTCTGAATCACTTTGCTGTACACAAGAAACTAACACAACATTGTAAATCAACTATACTTCAATAAAAATAAATAAATTAAAAGAAATAAACTTACTTTGTTACTACTAAGAAGGAGGAATAGTAATATGATAAAGAGAAGCGGCTCCGGTTGATTGTGTGTGTTATTTGGCAGGCATTATGCTGAATACACGTAGCACTGTCTCCGAGGAGACAGCTTGTTGGTAACTCGCGCAGAGCATGAGCAGGTAGGCTTAGCTCAGCTCAGCTTCCTCTGTCCTCAGAACCTCTGGTGGCAGCACACAGCTGCTGGTGACACGTTAGAGTCAAGATAGATTCTCATCAGATTTCAGAAACTTAATTCTTCCTGCCCAACAGTCCTTTTCTCTTCAGGGATTGTGTCACCATTCAGGAAGAGTTTATGTTGAAGAATGATGCCCTTAGTAAGACATATCTCTGTACATCCAGGACCCTCCTGGGAGAAAGCAGATTGAGGACCTTTCTGAACACTTTTTTTCTGTCTGCAGCTTCCCAGTGGTCCAAGGAGCCTGTTTTCTTACACCTGTGTTTTCTTCATTTCACAATGGCCTCATGATACAGATAATGTAATTCCTGTTTTACAGAGAAGAAATAGAGATTTAGAAGCATTACGTGATTTGCCCGTTATAACACGCTTATTAAGTGAGCAGGGTTCAAACCAGGCCGCACTGTGATGTGCTTTACCGCGCCCGAAGGTGCAGCCCCACTTTAACCCAGACACAAAACTCCCTCCCTCCCTCCCTTCCTTCCTTCCTTCCTTCCTTCCTTCCTCCCTTCCCTCCCTTCCTCCCTCTTCCCTCCCTCCCTCCCTTCCTTTTTCTCTCTCTCTCTCCCCTTCCTTCCTTCCTTCCTCCCTCCCTTCCTTCCTTCCTTCCTTCCTTCCTCCCTCCCTCCCTCCCTCCCTCCCTTCCTCCCTTCCTCCCTCCCTCCCTCCTTCCCTCCCTCCCTCCCTTCCTCTTTCTCTCTCTCCCCCCTCCTTTCTTCCTTCCTTTCTTTCTTTTTCTCTCTCTTTCTCTCTCTCATTTTGTGTGTCTCTCTCTTTCTTTTTGATGCTGCGCTGCTCTCAGAATCTTAGTTCCCAGACCAGGGATCAAACCTGGGCCCAGAGCAGTGAAAGCACTGACTCCTAACCACTGGACTGCCAGGGAATTCCCTCCCCCCATATTTAAAGGGTTGTATTTTTAAATTAATGATGGTGCATTTTGCATCTAGCTTATTTTATTTTAGCTTTGAAGAGAAAATACTGTCTTCAGCCGAAATTTCTGTATCTAGAAAAATAGACAGGAGGCAATTTCCTAAGGCCTTGGATTAAGGTCTTTTATTGCCGGACCTTAGATGTCATGCCTTAAGGGCAGAAACTGGGATTGAAACGAAATAATTCCACCCTTTTACCTTCCCCAGCATTCACACTCCCTTTCTTTTAAGTCCAAAAACAGCTTGTCTGTATGACCCTAGGTAAATGAACACCTGGAATATCTTTAGTAATGGCAAACTAGACAGTATTGTAGGTCTGATGGCCTCAAGGTGAGGCTCTTCTGAAGCTGATGGGAAATTCTGAAATTCTTTCTTTTCAGTTGTAATTCCAGAATTTGTCAGCAAGAAGATGTGGGTGAAGTGTGGCAGCAGTGTAGAAATAGTAGAAGGGGATATAGTTGTTGGTAGTTGATTCTTGGGTACGATTTGTTTTCTGTTGGTTCTATTAATGAGGTGAGGCTTTTGTGTTGATAATGGAGAGGGCCGGCTACTTTCATTAGCACGCAGGTTTTGCCTTTGACTTGGTGCTAGTTCCCAAGAAGTTCCAGTAGGAAAAGGTGTGTGGATTAGTACAGATTCACCACCAGTTTTCAAAAGGTAACTCAAAAACCATACTTTGCAAATGGTTGGGTATTGGTGTCATGTTTATATTTTGAGAAGTGTTAGTATCATATGGCACTTGTTAACATCAGACGATTTAACAGAAAACATTTCTTTCTCTTTCAAAACACCTGAGGTGGAATACCAATCTTGAGTTAAGTTTAGAGAATTTTCAAGTTATTTGAATATCTTTGTGGCTCTTTTCTTTTCAAGCTCCCAATTGAAGACTTGTGCAGTTTAACATCCCAGTCGCTGCCCATTGCACAGGCTTCAATAGTGCCTGAATCTACAGAAGACATTCTCTTGAAGGGATTCACCTCCTTAGAAATGGAAGAAGAAAGAATTGAAACTGCACAGCAGGTGAATGGCAGCATTATTTCTAAGGATATTTGATTGTTTTAAATGTCTCAAGACAGAGGTCCTAATTAAAAGTTGTGAACATTTGAAACTGTAGTTAAAGTCTTTCTAGGACATCTTTTTTTTTTGGGGGGGGGGGGGCTGGAGAAAGAAGGATATATTACTTGTACCAAGTAAGGAGAACACCAGTGATCTTTCCCAAAGCTGTTTCTATTTCTAGAACATTTTTGATTTTGTGTTAGTTGTGGTTATTTCTTAAGTGTTTTAAATGAACCTGTTGCCCAGTTTTATTTGCAATACAGATAAAAATATGCTATTCCAAGTTTGGATAGACTATTATATTTATTAAGGTTTTGATATTTTATGCCCTTTAGACCTCCTCCCTGTACGTGTCTGTGTTAATGTGTCCCCCAACATGCATGTGCGTGGACACATGCACACATGCAGACCTCCCAACCGCACCCCTCACTGCTTGCTGCTAGGTAATTTCTTTCTTAAAAACCTCAATATGCTCTTTAGACGAACGCTTATAGTTATTTTTCTGAAATGTAGCATGTGAAATCTCTTGGTTTTTGCTTATTCCCAACTATAAACTTGAATGTACAATAGTTTCTTCTGCTGCTTCCTCTCTCATCTTTCTGTCCTCTTAAGAATCAAAGCTGAGGAAGGACCTACTGTACAGCACAGAGAACTATACTCAATATTTTGTAATGACCTATAAGGGAAAAGAATCTGAAAAAGAACAGATATACACACACACACATAAAACTGAATCACTTTGCCATGCACCTGAAACTAACCCAACACTGTACATCAACCATACTTCAATTAAAAGAAAAGAAGAAAAAAAAAAAAGAAAAGAAGAATCAAAGCTAAGGCATTTACCAAGTGAAGCATAAAGCAAATGTGCTGAATTGCATATACACTAAGTCAGGGGTCCCCAACCCCCGGGCCATGGACCGGTAGTGGTCCATGACCTGTTAGGAACCAGGCTGCACAGCAGGAAGTGAGCAGCGGGCGAGCGAAGCCTCATCTGTATTTACAGCCGCTCCCCATCTCTCGCATTACCGCCTGAGCTCCGCCTCCTGTCAGCATTATGGTGAGTTGTATAATTATTGCATTATATATTACAATGTAATAGTAATAGAAATAAAGTGCACAGTAAATGTAATGCACTTGAATCATCCCGAAACCATCCCCCCCTGCCCCCCACTGGGTCCATGGAAAAATTGTCTTCCATGAAACCGGGCCCTGGTGCCAAAACGGTTGGGGACCTCTGCACTAAGTCAAGAGAGGCAGTGCTGCAAAGTGATGAAGAGCTCTAGCTCTAGAGTTAGACCAACCTGGATCTGAAGGTCACCTCTATCACTTACCATCTTTGTGAGCTTAGGCAAATTACTTATCTTCTCAGATCTCTTGTTTGCTAATGTGTAAAACAAAGATAATTATATACTTATCTCATAGGACTTCTGTGAGAATTAAATTAGATAATGCATGTAAATGCAGTGTGTGCCAAGCACACAATCAGTGTTCAGGAAATGAAAGCCAAGGTACTTGGCAAGAGTAGTATCTTGAGAGAATAAAGCATACCTTTGACTTCGAATCCCACTTGACAATTATAGAAGATAATCTTGCACCATGTCTGTGAATTTACTTGGACCATTTGAAAAAAAAAAAAAAAATCTTTTGGATTAAATTTGAATTTGCAAATTCTCTTTTAAATAAAAAAAAAAAGATCTAATACATTGTTATAATTTACACACGATAAGATGCACTCATTTTAAGTATACAACTTGATGGCAGGACCAGAATTCAAACCCACGTTTAGCTGATGCAAAAGCTATGTTTTTAAACCACTCCTTTATATTATTTCTGAGCTTATATTCTCACAATTATTATTAGATAACATTAATATTTACCCAGAGCCCTATGTTACCTACTCAAATTTGGCAAACTAGCAGGTAGGCATTAGCTTCTTAGGAAGAAATGTTTATTTCTACATATTATCGTGTTAATACTCTTTCTTATTTAACTCTGAAAATGGCCCATGTTTTTAAGATACTTTGCTTTTCCTGGAATGTAGACACTGACCATGCAATTAAATTGCCATCTCCTGGCTTACAGCTATAAATGCCTGAGCCCCAAACAGTAAGACTTAGTGTCTACCCTTCTGACTTGCTGTTTAGCATGTAGCCACTTTTCATTTTGTCTGTTTTAGTTTTGTTGACAACATAATACCCTATTTTTCCAGTTTTTCTCATGGTTTGCAAAGCTACAAACTCAGATGGATCAGGATGAAGGAACTAAATATAGGTATGTGGCTCTTATATTTGTTGGCTGTCCTAATTCTTAGATCATCTTAAGCATTTCGTTATCTGTGCCTTTAAACAAAATTAAGGTACAAAGAAAACTTGAACAGCAACATTTTCTTTAAGAATAGCTAGAAAGGATGTGGGTCATTCCAACTGGTATTGGAAGTTGTGCGATTTTAAAAAAAGTCACATTGTAATTAATAGGTTAGGAGGAGCAGAGGTTGATTTTAGGTAACCAGAAAGGCTTGGAATCAAGTGGGAGTTTTGTCAGGAACTCTAAGAGGTGTTTGCTGCCTTTCTTTAGAGGGAGAGACCCAAGAGACTTTAGGGATGGCCAACTAGGCAGGGTGTGAACTATGTTGTTTTGTTTGTGTATATTGACGGCATGGGGGAAGTGACTGTACTGTTTCTAGCTGATTTGGAGACCGTGGGTTGAACATTTGTATTCATTTAACATTAATTAAGTGACTATTATTGCTAGGCATTGTGTTAGGCTCTTTGATGTATGATTCCATTTAATCTTCATAGCAGCTCTATAAGGAAAGGTGTTATTATTCCCATTTTACAAACGAGTAAACTGAGGCCTGGTACTATTAAATACTTGCCTAATGTCATGGAGACTTGGGCAGAGCTGGGACTTGGACTCAGGTCTTCCAAGTACAAGTCCAAAATTCTTTCCATGACATCACACCATCTCTCAAAGGCAGACATGACCTGAAGGATGGACCTACTTGTTACCTTGGGATGGGCCTGGTGTCCCAGTCTTTGAAAGTTGAGCCCATGATTTACTGCCCTACATGTGAAAAGCCAGTTTATGGCTTTAAGGCTGATTCCTTTTATTGCTCATAGTTTCAATCATTTTCCTTCTTAAGTACTGAAACAGTTTGTGACATAGTTTTTGCTATATTTCTGAATATAATAAACTTTTTGAATAGGTCAGACTTTCCTTCTGAAGTGCAAGCATTTGGAGGAAAACGAGACCTTGTTGTTTATTGTCTGTGCTTATTGGGGGAAAATATTATTGCCAATCCCCTTTTGGTTCTGTTTTCTAGACAGATGAGGGATTACTTGTCTGGGTTTCAGGAGCAGTGTGATGCTATATTGAATGATGTCAACAATGCTCTTCAGCATCTGGAATCATTGCAGAAACAGTATCTTTTTGTGTCCAATAAGACAGGAACCCTACATGAAGCCTGTGAACAGCTCCTGAAAGAGCAGGTAATTTGGAGTAGGAGAGAGTGTCAGTGACTGACTATGTTTAATATTTTATTTTTAAATAGATGAATACAATTTAATTCTAATTTCCTTTATTTCGCCAAGTATATTTTGAACACTTCTCTGTATGAGGCTCTGTGCTAAGTATGCAAATTATTACTTTGACAGCCTGCTTTTAAGCTTATGTCAGCAGGGGCACGGGCAAGCTTTCGTATGTTTTGAGCTGTTAGGTCTCAGTACAGTTTCAGAGTGAAGAGGGTATATTCACATTTGTGACACTTTCCTTTTTTTTTTTTGGCTGCGCTGCGCGGCTTGCGGGATCTTAGCTCCCGACCAGGGATTGAACCCAGTCCTTGGCACTGAAAGCGCCGAGCCCTAACCACTGGACCATTAGGGAATTCCCTATTGACACTTTTCAAACAAGGCATAGTGATTATACTAATGGTGGGGTTTATGAAAAGATGAACAGATCTAGGTTGCACTTAAACTTGTGACTTAAAGATAGAATATTTAAGTTACTATACTTATCTCAGAATTTTATCTATGTATATTTTGTATGTTTTTAAAAAGGTGATCATCTGTTATTTTATGAAAAGATACGTAATTTACTGTAATAATCATTGCTTATTTTAGCCCATGACTGCAGAGGTCTTTGGGCATTATCCTGAAATCATATATCTAATATAAACCTGTATGTCTAGTATAAATCTCTTTGATGTAATTTTGAGACTGGAGTGTTGATTCTTATGTTCTCATAATAATTGATTTTTCTCTTTTAAAAAATTCAAGTCGGAACTTGTTGATCTGGCTGAAAACATTCAACAAAAGCTTTCCTATTTTAATGAATTGGAAACTATTAACACAGTAAGCACTGTTCTTTATTTTTTCTAGAATTAGTGGCTTTCTTTTATATTTCCCATTCTGAGTATAATCTTTAACCTTATAAATTGGCTTGAGTGATATTTTAACTTAATAGTTTGCTTGTTGTTAAGATGTTCCTATTTGTGAGTGATGGACATACCATTACCAGTTCAGATTTCCAAATATGATTTAAATAATAGTTCTTCTTAAATTGTATTTTTGCTATTAAAATCTCTTTGTTGGTTAACTCTTATAGTATCATATTTGTAAGCTGTGATGGTTATAAGAAGAAATATTCAATTTTAAATCTTGCTGTGGTTGTGCTTCTATAATAGTAATTAAAACATTTCTTAAACTAATCTCATGTTTAGTTTGAGGAAGAGTATAGTCCTCATAATGGATTCTTGGATCCCAAAGAGGTAGTCACAATAAAGACTTCTGTGTAAATTATATTTCTCTGTATTCTGGCTCATAAATTAATCATAATAACTGCATATAAATCATGTTATTAAAATTATTAAATCTAAATTATTATAGTTTACTAAAGAGTTAGAAATAAAACCAGTAGCCAGTTAACAGTGGAATGCAATGGGAAATATAAATCATTGCCAAACTATTTGTATATCAAGATAAGAAATAATTGGGTCATTTTACTTATCTTTTATATATATTATTATAGGTTTATATATTTTAATATTTATCATTTTATCTATTATATTAAATATTAACTATCATGTTTATATTATATATTACCTTATATTAGTACTACTTGTATATGTTTACTTATATTTTACTTTCAGTATGACTGCTGAACATGGTAACTGCTAGTTAATCTTTTAACCTTGAGAAGATCGCCAGTGTTTGAAAGTGGAAAATTTATGTTGTAAAGTGCTAGAAAGTGGGAAATCTAGGTACATGATGTATTATTTTAATATAACATTGTGCAATGGAGTATAAAATGTTTGCTAACTCGTGAAGAGCCCCATTAAAGGTCATTAGGAGTAAACTGAATTCAATCCATATTCTTTTAAATTTGTCCTTTCTTTATTGTATTGTTACACATGGGCTACATTTGAGTATATTTGGTGACTCTTAAAATGTAAAAATTTTTTTTTCCCTTAAAGAAATTGAATTCTCCCACGCTATCTGTGAATAGTGAAGGATTTATACCAATGCTGGCCAAGTTAGATGACTGTATTACATACATATCATCTCATGTAAGTCATGGTATTTCTGTGTGTTTTAAAGAAATCTTAACATCCCTATTATATCATTTCTTATGCAGTAAACTAATTATTTCTTTCTGTAATATACTTGAAGAAAAACTATAGTAAATTCTTAGTCATTGTCAGTAGTGATGTAAAAAATGCTTTCAGCTGCTGCAGCAACCCCTGGAATAGAAAAAGCGGCTGGCTGACACAACTTTATCCCATCTAAAAGGACTAGTGATTTTTAGACTGTTGACTTAACTGTTTTGCTAGATACTTCCTTGGAAACAAAAAGTATTACTTGGGGGGGGGAAATAAAAGGACACGTCCTTTGTTTTAAGCACCATCTCTTTCTGCCCTCCAAGGATTTATAGCTGTATTTATTTCACCCAACTCCTATTCTTTTCTTAGTTGGGCCTCACATATTAGCCTTGAGGCCTGTGGGGTACTGAAAATATATTTTGCTAAAAGCTGCAAATATTTATTGAGCCCTTGCTTTGTGCCAGGCACAGGGAATTTGGCTATGACCAAGACAGTCATAGTATTTGTCTTCAAGGAGCTTACAGTCTACATAAGATCTTCTTTTGAACTTTCTGTATAGCTTTACATAAAGGACAGGTTGGTTTTCATTAAAAGTTTGCTTCATTTTTGTAAATCTTTCCCTTTCCTTTACAGCCAAATTTTAAAGATTATCCTGTATATTTACTGAAGTTTAAGCAGTGTCTTTCTAAAGCTTTGCACCTCATGAAGACATATACAGTGAACACACTACAGAACCTCACAAGTCAGTTATTAAAAAGGGTGAGTTAACTGGTGAGGTGTTTTTTTGTTTTTGTTTTTTTAATTCATTTATTTTCCATAATGTTAGTCTGAGATTAGTATCTAGTAACTCCAATTTTTTTTTTTACCTTTTGTTAAATAAATAGGTGTTGCAATTTTATTTATAATAAGAAAAAATGCCTGTATTATATATGTCTGTCACAGTCTTATTTTCAAAGAATATATAACAGTGTGAGAAATATTCAGCACTATATGATAAATAATAAAATAAGATTCAAACTATTTCTCACTTTAACTTTTTCTTTTCCTATCTTTTTAAAGAAAATATTAGGAGGAAATACACCAAAATAATAAAAGTGGTTCTGTCTGAGTGGTAGAATTACATATGATAGATAATTTGAATTTCTTTCTTTACAAATGATGGATAATTTAATTTACTGTATTTAGCAAATGTATTTTTACTGAATGCCTTCTAAATGCTTGGCATTGTACTAAGAACTGTACAGTAGTGAAAGGAGCTAACAAGGTCCCTGCCCTCATGGAGCTTATGTTCAGGAGAAATAATCAGTAAAGAAGGAAAAAGACAAATTAATTAATTACAGATTTTAGTGGATGCTAGGTGGAAAATTAGCAGCGTGTTAGGTTAGAAAATAAGAGTGGAGCTAGATCAGATGGTCACTGAGCACATTTCTTTCCTAAGAAAATAGAACCTGAAAGATAATTTATTTTATTTTTTCAGCCTACTTTCTAAAGAATACGGACTATCTTGAGCTTTTAGCTCAAAGCTGCTGAGCTTTGTATTGCATTTTACCATTCACATTGCTCTTAGCTGACATAACAGACCATATGATTTTTCTATTTTGCAAAATGTTATCTTAGGAAACTAATGCCTAATAAGTACTAGTACCTACTATGTGTTAGTGCTTTATAATTGAGCTGTGTAAAACCTTTGTGCATATGTGTTATCACCATTTAATGGATGCACTGAATCTCAGAGCGGTTAAGTAATTTGACCAAAGTCCTACACTCAGAAAGTGACTGAGTACGAATCTGAGTTCAGTCTTTTTACCACCAAAATTCATGTAACATAGCATAAATTTTCATTATAAAGTAGAGAGAGATGACAGCTCCACATAATTATTTCTCATTTGTAGCAATAATAGTATTTAATCTTTCTCTCTGTAAGCTTTTGGTTGGTATATAGGCCAAGCAGTAGCCATATGAAATGGTTTGTGTTATATTTTCTGAATAATTATTTGTTCGCTAATTATCTTCCTTCCCTATCCTCCCCCATGTTTCTTTAGGATCCTTCATCTGTACCTAATGCAGACAATGCCTTCACATTATTTTATGTGAAATTTCGAGCTGCTGCCCCCAAAGTCAGAGTAAGTCTATTGACATAAATAAGATAATGCTATGAAATTTATTTAGCCAGCCCTTTTGAAATGCTAATGTATGTTAGGTCCTTTGTTTATACCAGGAAAATGAACCTGAATGAAAGGTAGGCTTTGTCCTTCCACATTATAGCAGTGTATGTTGAGGTGCTTTAAGCCCACAGAGGAGGAAACACCTAGCTGTTCCTGGAATGCTCAGGGAAGGTTTCCAGTTGAAGGTGATACTTGAGCTTAAAAAAACGTAGATTTATAGCAGACTTGAGGGGATTGATAAGGATATTTTATACAGAGAGAGCAGCATGTATAGGGAAAGTTGTAGAGACATAAAAGACTTGTATTTTGGGAGGACCTCATTTAAGACTGGTGTGATAGGAAAGAAGAAAGGAAAGATGGCAAAGACCATCTCACAGAGGATGTTGCATGTCATGCTAATTCAGGAAAAGTAGAGAGCCAGTGCAATATTTTAAATCAGTGTAATCCCAGATACAGCTCAATGGTTAAGAATCCGCCTGCCAATGCAGGAGACACGGGTTTGAGCCCTGGTCCAGGAAGATCCTACATGCCTCGGAGCAACTAAGCCCGTACGCCACAACTACTGAGCCTGCGCTCTAGAGCCCGCAAGCCACAACTGCTGAGCCCGTGTGCCACAACTACTGAAGCCCGTGTACCTGGAGCCTGTGCTCCCAGCAAAAGAAGCCACCGCAATGAGAAGCCAGCGCACCTCAACGAAGAGTAGCCCCCGCTCGCTGCAACTAGAAGAAAGCCCATGCACAGCAACGAGACCCAGCTCAGCCAAAAAGAAATTAAATAAATAAATTTTTAAAAAAATCTTTAAAAAAGAAAAGCAGATTGCAAAGCTGAATATATAGTATAATTCCAGTTTTGTTTAAAAAGAAAAATGTAGTAACTGTGTGCATACAAAAACTGAAAGAAAATATTCTGAAATACTGTGATTAATTTTTTTGTGTTTTAGGTGATTTTCATGTTTCAACTTTTTTGTAGTCACAGATTTTCTAACATGAGCTTGTGTTACTATTATAATCAGAAAGCAATTGAAAATATAACTAAAACAGATGGAGTTAGTGGACTTTTCTTTATTCCACAGACTCTCATCGAACAAATAGAACAACGATCTGAAAAAATACCTGAGTGAGTACCCACAGGTTCTTCAGTTTCCAAGTTACCTTCCTTGAAGTGCTATTTTGCCAAGTCTGTTATGTCCCTGATATTTTCTGAGCAATTACCTTGCATGCTGTACAAGACTTTTCTTGTAGCACACAGCTCAGTTTGGGGAGCAAGGTCACAGACCTGACTTGGTGAGTTTGTAAGGCATCTTTTTCCCATATAGCAGGATTTCCTTCTCATTTAGGTAGATGTAACATCACTACTCGTGGAAGATAAATCTGTCTTTAAAAGATAAAGGTTATGGTAGTTCATTATGGTTTGTTTTTTCTTTATATACATAAATATTTCTAGTATTTAATGTGGGCAAATGAGCAGTAACCATATAGCTTTGGAGGTTTGGCAACCTATTTTGGGATTTAAGATCGGATTTAATTTACATATCTGAAATCAGAAGTTTATACAGTACTCCAGTCTCATTTGCTTTTCATCAGATACCAACAACTGCTAAATGACATCCACCAGTGTTACCTTGATCAGCGGGAACTCCTTTTGGGCCCTAGTATTACTTGTACTGTAACAGAGTTAACCAGCCAGAATAACAGAGACCACTGTGCCTTGGTGAGTTTCTGCCTGTTGTGGTTTAATGTTAAACCTTCTTTTGAGCTGTTATGATACCCTAGAAACTATACTTGGGTAAATAAGTTTTGGTCCCCATATCAACAAGCTTACATAATGTTTCTTTCTGTTATGACAAATCTGGTTTAGTAATTAGCATTCAATTTGGCAAAATATACTCATTTTGATTGATTTTTTGAGGTATGAAGATTCACAAATCAGTATTGTTTTTTGAAAGATGAAGTTTCAAAGTTTCTGGATTTATGTAGACAAATTAATCTTAGCTTTTGCTGCAGAAGTGCTTTTTTGTTTAGTGTGATTTTAAGTCAGATTATAGAAAAATAATAAAGATTATTTTTTTAAATACTTTTCAACTAGAAGAGTAATTTTCATTGTCAAAAGCTTAGAAAGCATAAAGAAGAAAATAAAAATCATCGATAGTTCCACTGTGCAGAAAACCATTTTCTGTTCTTCAGGGAGTTGTTTTATGAATTATATATGCATAGTCTCTTTGTAAATAAAATGTTGGCTTTATTTCATAAATGCTGGAGTTGTTGTGTGTCTCTAACTATAGATGGTGTGTGTTTGTTTCCCGCAGATTCGCAGTGGCTGTGCCTTTATGGTTCATGTATGCCAGGATGAGCACCAACTTTATAACGAATTTTTTACAAAACCAACATCAAAATTAGAGTAGGTGGTACACGGAATCTAACTCTTGTTTGTAAGATTTAATTCGCTAATGGCTGTAATGGCTTATTATAGGAGTATTCTAAAGTTAACTATGGAGTGTTTTAACTTTTGTGGGTATGTGAACAGAATATTGTTGGATGGGACAGTGGTTATTTATTTTGAAATAAATGTGCAGCTTAAAGGCCAACATGCTTTCATATTGTTTATAATATAATTATGGAGACAATAAGTTATGATAGTAAGAATCCTGTATAGGGAACTATCTTGGTATCTAGATCCCTTTATCTACACTAAGTGTAATAATTCCTTCTATTTAAAAAATTCTATGATTCTAACTAATGAAGGACACTTAAAAACATAGATACTATTTAAAATCCTTTTCCTTATTTTTCTCAAAGTGTATTTCAAACCCACTGTCAGTCACTTTTGGGTTCTTCATATTGGTGGTTTTGACTGTTAAAAAATTCCAAGATTATGACTCTTGTAAAGGGGAGGAGACAAATATATCTTACGGTTTTGATGAAATACTATATATAGAAGAGTACTGTTGACAATATAAAGAGTATAGACAGCCTAATGTTTTTCTTTTCAAATGTTTAAAATTGTCAAAATACTTGGTGTATGTCCAGAATATTTTGAGTTTTGTTTATCTAAGTCTGTAAGTATTCAAGAGTTTTGAACCTATCTTTCCTGGGGAAAATGTCACCATTTGATTCATAGTGGTGTAGGTTATAAAAGGAAAATTAAGTCTACTGAAATATTTTTTATTGTTTTTGAAAGGACATACACAAAATTATTGCTAACATAAGTACAAGTTGTAGTAAATTGACATTCGGCTGGGGCCAGCTAATTGTTGAGGATTGCCTATTAATTCTGAGCTTGATTATTGATTCTAGCAAAAACAGTTCACAGAATTACTTTCAGCCTTTCACTTCTCATCATATAATGTCCCCACGTACTATTTTCCAGTATATATATATATATATTTTTTTTTTTTGGCTGGAAGCAATCAAGGGTGACTTTTAAACTGTTAGGAAATACTGAAAGGATTACTGCTGATAACCATGTTTTATTCTTTCATTTTAGTGAACTTTTGGAGAAACTGTGTGTGTCATTGTATGATGTCTTCAGGCCATTGATCATTCACGTTATTCACTTAGAGACTTTATCGGAACTTTGTGGGATTCTTAAAAATGAGGTGCTTGAAGATCATGTACAGAATAATGGTAAATAAGTAGAAAAAATCATTTCAAAGGTCTTTTTAATTATATCTATGGCTCAATGAATCTGAAAAAGATTAGTACCTCCCCCCCATCCCTATATAAACAATATTTTTAAAACTTGGGTTGATGCCTTGTCTCTTTTTGAATCAAGATGCACCTTATTCTGTGACTAAATAATAATGGGGAAAGAATTTTTAAATCTGGGCAAAATTAGTAATAAAATAATTAGAGCTACTATTCTTTCTGACATCTGAAATCCATAGAGAACTGACCATCAGTTTTGGGTTGGGTATTTCTAATACACTATTACCAGAGTACATAAAGTAATTGACTGTATTGCATAGTCTTAATTTAAAAAACAGAAATTGTTTTAGCATACATACATAGTAATAATTCATCTTTTTTGAAATTACAAATAAAGAAAAGCAATTCTCTGGAGTAGCTCTACTTTATTCATCTAATACATGCTTTAACAATTGGTTTGATTGTCATAAAAAACATGATTTTCCTAGTGATACTTAGGTACCTTTAAAAAATACCCTTCAGGTAATCATTTTACTGGCAGAAATTATTGTCTTTACTTTGACTTTCCTTAAGAGACACTATAGGTTTGTTACTCTTCCCGAGTTTCTTATTCTGTTGCATTTAGTTCATTCTAAGATGTACATTTTCTCCCATTTTAATGCCTGTGAATTAAAGATGATTTTTAAAATTAATGTAAATAATTTATATGAGTGTGTAATGCCTCCAACTCCCCAGCCCTTGGAAAGCTGATACTGAATCACTGGTGTGTCTTAACATTGATGGCATCTTAGAAATGAAGAAATTCTATACAAACGCATATCTCATTTTATTTATTTATTTGGCCACACTGTGCGGCTTGTGGGATCTTAGTTCCCCAACCAGGGATTGAACTCGGGCCCTCGGCAGTGAAAGTGCAGAGTCCTAACCACTGGACCGCTGAGGAATTCCCTCATTTTATTTTTTTATTCATTTTTCTTTGTGAGAATGTTAACAAGTCATTTAATATCTGTGGGACTCTATCTGTAAAATGGGGGTGATAACCTAATTAATAAGCTGCTTTAGCTATCTCTCAGGATTGGTATGAAGCTATAGAGATACCTTTTAAAAAAACACAAAGCACTTTAAAAATAAGATTATTATTCACATTAATAATGGAAATTATTTCACAGAGTCCCAGGAAGAAGATGTAAGGGAAAATTTATTTTCCAATTTTAAATTTGAGGAAACTGGAAGACATTTATTAAATTTTTCTAAGGTCATTAAGTCATACCAAAATAGAATACAACCAGTCCCTGAAGCAAGAGTGGTTTATACTATTACTAGACAATTTTGTAATATTTTTGCTCGTTTAAAGAATATTTTTTAAATCTGAAGGAATGGGTGATAGACCTTTTTTTTTTATCAGCTGAACAGTTGGGGGCATTTGCAGCTGGAGTAAAGCAGATGTTGGAAGATGTACAAGAGCGACTTGTCTACCGAACCCACATCTACATTCAGACAGACATCACAGGCTATAAACCAGCTCCTGGAGATCTAGCGTATCCCGATAAGTTAGTAATGATGGAGGTAGGGTCTTCTTATTTGATCTTTCCCCTACCCCACACAACTTTTGGATATTTTATACTGGTGAAAATAGGACTTTTCTTTTTAATTCTCATTCAGGATGCAAAAATCAAGATAAACTTGCCATGAAATCATAGGAAATAAAAATTTAAAAAAACTGAACAGATATAATTTGTTAGATTGTCCCTCCTTCAAGTTGTATTTTATAAACATTTGATTCAGTTTTCTGTCCTTTCCCAGGAAGCGTGTCTTCTCAATTTTTAAATAGAATTAGTGCTTTCTATGATTTCTCTTTTTTTTGGTAAGTGGCATAGAAGAGGATTAATAACATATAAGCCACCAGAGTTGATGGTCACATAACCATGTGTCGTCTTCTCTCATTAAAAACTCTGGTGGTTGTCTCCTCAAAATTACACAGTGCTGGTGTCCAGTTTATGGTTTGAAGACTTAGGTATATCTCACTAATCTTTCAGTTACATATGTATCTTCGTTTTCTTTGAGTGCTGTACAGAGTTAAAATAATGCATAGGGTATTAGTGCTTAAACAGAATTAGAACCTGGAAATTCTTTTTATTTGTTTATTAATTTTTTTGAATGACAAAATCAGGTTTATTGCTCCAGGTTAAGCCAGTGAAGACTGGATATGGGAAGGGTGAGGGGGGAACACAGGAACTTGGTGAAGGCATCCTCCCGGCCTTGGCCTATACTGAGTTCTTGGCACCCTGGGAAGCCAACCAGTCAGTGCATTTCAGACCTGCTGATCACCTGCCCATGGGCCAGGCCCACAGTAAAGTTTAAGGCACAACCCCAGGCTCTGGGGAGCATATCCCTCCTCCCTATGGGGTCACCTGCACAGGTCTGAGCACAGAGGAGGGGTCTGCAGAGATGGCCTCTGCTGGGGCTGTATCCTTAGGAAGGTATCTTGGTGGAGGAGGAGGCTGCCCCCTTCTTCTTGGTGGGGGCCTTCAGCAGCTCCAGCTTCTTGGGCAGACTGGTATAAACAGGTCTGTTTCTCAGCCTGATCTAGGGAGTTGTGCTCTCTCCCCTTCCTCCCCTCCTTTCCTTGTCTCCTTTGTATCAGTTTTTACATTCTAGATAGGATACCTGTTTTAATAGTGCTGTCTGATAGGATGTTAGGTGATTGAGTTTACTATATACCCCCTCCCAGTTTAATTTAGTGATACATTTGGTATGTTTATTTAGTCAGCACATGGCCAGTATCCTGAGTGTTTTCTTTTATTATTTTTAAAAATTTGTTTATTTATTTATTTATTGGCTGCCTTGGGTCTTCATTGCTGCGCACAGGCTTTCTCTAGTTGAGGTGAGCAGGGGCTACTCTTCATTGCTGTGCGCAGGCTTCTCATTGCAGTGGCTTCTCTTGTTGCAGAGCATGGGTTCTAGGCGCGCATGCTTCAGTAGTTGCGGCACGCAGGCTCAGTAGTTGTGGCGCACGGGCTTAGTTGTTCCACAGCATGTGGGGTCTTCCCAGACCAGGGATCGAGCCCGTGTCGCCTGCATTGGCAGGTGGATTCTTTTTTTTTTTTTTTCTTTTGCGGTACGCGGGCCTCTCACTGTTGTGGCCTCTCCCGTTGCGGAGCACAGGCTCCGGACGCGCAGGATCAGCGGCCATGGCTCACGGGCCCAGCTGCTCCGCAGCATGTGGGATCTTCCCGGACCGGGGCACGAACCTGTGTCCCCTGCATCGGCAGGCGGACTCTCAACCACCGCGCCACCAGGGAAGCCCGACCTCTTGTTTTAAGTGCACTGCTTCCAGTAAATCTATTTGCTTTGTTTTTCTTTTGGTGAAGGTCAAGGATTTAAGGTGATCTGGCTGTGACATCTGTGTGCCATTTAGGGATTAGCTATACTTTCTGGTTTCTGTTTGCAGAATGAAAGGACGGGCCTGACTGATACAGAGCCTGTCTCCTAAACAGTTCTCTGGCTATTCTTTTTGGCAGTAGGTGGGTGTCTGTTAGGCCAGGGGTCCCCAACCCATCCATGGCCTGTTAGGAACCAGGCTGCACAGCAGGAGGTGAGTGGCGGGTGAGCAAGCAAAGCCTCATCTGTATTTACAGCTGCTCCCCATCTCTCGCATTACTGCCTGAGCCACCCTCCCCCGCATCTGTGGAAAAAGCGTCTTCCACGAAACTGGCCCCTGGTGCCCAAAGGTTGGGGACTGCTGTGTTAGGCCTTCATTTCTGTATATTTCCACCTTTATAACCAATGTAAATAGGTAGGATTTTCATTGCCAACTTAGTAGTTAGTGACCTGTGTATATTTGATGATATTCTTTAGATAGTGAAAAAGAGTTAAATAGCCTCAGTCCATAAGATAATTTTTAAAAATCTGCTTAAAAAATAACAAACTGTAGCTGTTCTCACATAAAGAGAAAACCTGTAGTTTGAGTTTGCCAACTCCTTGATAAAAGCATTTCTGACATCTAGAATGTACCCAATCTTAAATATGAATACTTTGTTTCTAAATGTAAAATTGAAAATTAAGCTTCTAATCTGAGCCTTGTATATTTGACTCTCTTCAGCAGATACCTTGTAATGGTTCTGAAATTAGTGGTTCAGAAAAGGCTATGTATGTCTTTATGAGAATAGAGACACTCTATACCAATTTAACTTTTTCATCTCCATGTGTTGTTTTGGCATAGTTCATTAGTTCGTTTATCCATTAATTAGTATATATTTTTTTACTTTATAGAAAGAATGTGTTCATATTGCTAGACACAGCTGAAAACTACACTTTAATGTTCCTTCTGATTTCTTGATACAGCAAATTGCACAGAGTTTAAAAGTTGAGCAGAAGAAGGTACCACCTTCAGAAGCTTTGTTTTCAGACGTTCAGTTAGAAGAAGCAGAGCCTCCTAATAATCTAACAAAATCTGGTATGTTATGATGTTTTAACTTCCAGCTTTTATTCATTCATTTAATAAACTTTTATTGAGGACTTGTCATGTCTCAGGCAAGAAAAACAGCTTGTGCCTTTGAGGAGCCCACGCTTTAGCAGGGGGAGATTGGCAAGCCACAGGCGTAATTCAGGGGTGACAGGATAAAGGTAGGCACAGGGCACTCTTGGACCGCGGGAAAAGGGCATCAGAATTGTGAAGGGGGATGAACTTTGAGTGCAGGAAGGCTGATTCAGTGAGAGGTGTGGAATCTGAAAGCTGTAGTGTTGATGAGAATGAGAGAGCCAGGTGAAATAAGGTTGTTTTAAGATAGAACCGCATGGAGGACGGCATACAGGAATGGAAGACCATGGTTGCTTTGGGGATGTCAGGTGGTTTGCTGTGTTTGGGTACAGGTTCCTGTAGGAAGGAGCAGGCAAAACAGGCCAGCTTGTGATAGGTGTCAGGTGATAATCTCATGGACTTTGAAATTCTACCTAATTGTACCATCAGATTTGCATTTTTAAAAATGTATTGAGTGCCTAGGACTCGGGTAAAAAAATTGACAGAAGCGTATGGGATAGCTTGGACTGGGGTACCTGTTAGGCAAGGAACAAAATTGTCCAAGAGTCACCCTGGATAACTGATGAGTTATCTAGACAACAGGCTAGATGAGAAGTAGGGCACCCCTTCTCCTCACCCCTCAGCTGTAAGAGTGACACTCAGACTCAGCTCCATGTGGGACTGACTGGGAGTCGGGGGTACTGTAACTCCATGGGCTTTAAAGAGCCCCAGCTGCCCCCAAATCCCCAGGCTTAGTGCATCATCAGTTTATTCTGAGTCAGCTCTGTAACAGTGGACACCCCAAATCCAGACTGCCCAACAGCCTCAGTGTTCCCCATCTGACAAAGCCGTTTTATCACGCCTGCCCTATAGGAAGAGAGACCATAGGGAGCTGAAATTTCCTCCTCTGGAATAGAACCCATGCCGTGTCCTAATACACATCTTGGTCTAGTTAGCCGCTTGAAGAGTTACTGGAGAGACTAGAGTACATTTCTGTCTTACCAACCCTGGCCTTGTACCTTTCCGCAGTAAAGCTTATTCTTTAACTCATGCCTGGCATTACATTAAGGTGTTGTTGGTAGAACTGTGGAGACTGGTTAGGATGTTGTTGTGTTTTTCCATCTGAAAGGTAAAGGTGGTTTGAACCAGGGCGTTGGTGGTGGGGATGGAGAGAAGTGTATAGATGAGGGATATAGTTAGAAGTGTGAATCAGTAGAATTTGGTGACGCACTAGATGTGGGGACTAAGGAAGATTGAGTAAGGTCCATGTGGAACAACCGAGAGATCTGTATTAAATGGATCTAGAGTTATGCTGTCCAATACGGGAGCCATAGAACATGTGAGATGTGGCTAGTCCGAATGTGCTGTGTGTAAATACACAACAAATTTCAAAGACTTAGTATGAAATAAAGAATAAAAAGTATCTTATTAGTAATTTTTATATTGATTATATGTTAAAATAATGAGATTTTTGATCTATTAGATTAAATAAAATATATTCAAAGTAGTTCCACTAGTTTTACCTTTTTTAATGTGGCGTTTTAATGTGTCACATTTATGATTCACGTAAGAGTCCTCTTGGACAGCACTGCTCTAGAGCTGTAAAGAGCCAGCTGATTCAGGGGTAAAGATTGAGGACCCTTGATGCTTCGGACTTGTATGAGATCAGCCAGGACAGAGAGAAGAGTGACAGTAACAGAAGTCTGGGGAGAGAGTCTTAGGAGCAGATGGAGGGAGGGGGTGCGCTGGGCCGACAGGGGAAGGACAGCCAGAGGGGTCAGAGGGTGTGATTAAGCCAGAGGAGGGGAGGGGTCGGCAGAGTGAATTGAGTAAAGAGGTGAGAAATAGGAAATGGGAGGATATCGTGGTTAGAGGGTGGGATGCTGAGTTTTCATGATTAAGAGGTGGAATAGTTTGGAGTGATAAGAAGGTCTGCAGAAAGTAATTTTGAAAGAAAGTCATAAGAAACTGTGTCTGGAGTAGGGGGTGCAGGGATGGAAGTGAAGGTCTTTGGAGTTGAGACGGGCAAGGATAACCATATGGGTCATCCCCATGGTATTGATGCTGTTCAGAATAGACATGGAATTTGGGATGGGAAGCAAGGCTCTGAGTCTGGTGGCAAGGGGAGCGAAAAAGAAAAGAACGAATGTAATCACTTCTCCTGCTTCCAGGGTATGCCAGAAGTGAGAAAATGAGATTGCTCTGAAGTGAGGCCTTTAAGTGGTGTGATGTTCATGTCATGGGAGTAGTGTCAGGGCAAGTTGGTGGAGGGCCCATGGTGTGAGGAGGCCGACGATGAGTGTCTTCAGAACGCATGGGCCTTGTTCTCTGCGTGGAGAAACGAGGGCAGCGGCAGGCTCGCAGAGGGAGAGTGGTGGGGACCCACGGCGGGAGCCGATGCAGAAGCCCTGCTACCGGGTTTGCTCAGCTCTTCAGAAGAGGCAGCCAGTAGGCACCTTACCTGGCGGCTTGCTGTGTAAATAAACTCCCCAGTCAGCTATTTTAGCTATTAACTCTTCTTCTCAGGAGAGTGAAAAAATGAACAAATAAGTTGACTTCTGGCTTTGAACTACATAAATACATTTTTTGTGCTAAACTTTAATTTGGGAGTACCTTTTTGGCTCTTTATTTTGAAGGAGGAATCCCGCAGATATCCTAATTCTTAGCACAACTAAGGATACTTAACCTCCTGAGTATTCCGTGATATAATTTGTCCAGTTTATTCTTTTTCCTTAAGAAATTTTTTTATAACGTAGGTATCTTAGTTTAAAGTAAGGCCAATGGAAGAGCTTTTTAAAATTCTACAAGTATTACATGCTTTTGAAAAACAACTAAGCTTACAGAACCGTGAAGTGAAAGCACCGGCCCTCAACATTGCCCTCTGCCCTTTCCTGCATAAATCCACTCTGCAAGCCCCAGTTCCCCTTCTGAGCATATGCAGATCTAGCTCTTTTTAAATTTTTAAAAATTTTGGCCACGCCGCATGGCTTGTGGGGTCTTGGTTTCCCCCACCAGGGATCAAACCTGGGCCCCCTGCAGTGGAAGCACAGAGTCCTAACCACTGGACTGCCAGGGGAATTCCCTCTAGCTCTTTTTTTAAAAAAGGAATTCTGTTTTGCTTGGCTTTACTTTTCTTCTTTTATTATTAAAAAAATTTCAAATAAACAGAATGATGCAATGAACCCCTGTGCCCACCACCCAGATTCAATACTTAACATTCTATCGTATTATGTATATATATTTTTGCTAATCATTTTAAAGTAAATTATTGTCATCATTGCCACTTTACCTTTGAGTATTTCAGCACCTCTCCAAAAAAAAAAAAAAAGGGCATCTTTCACAGAACCATAAACCATCATTGCACTAAAAAATTTAGTAATGTTTCCTGATGTGCTCTAATACCCAGTCCATATTTCAGTATCCCCTCTTGTCCCAAAGTATGGTCCCAGCTGCACTTGCCTGGCTCGTGTGAACTCTGGTCCCTCCACCAGAGTGATGGTGCGTCCGTTACAGACGTGTCTCTGCTCAGGCACGCCACCCGCCCCCCCCACAATGTTCCTCCTTACGCTTGCTGGGGCTGCCTTTTGGAGTGGGGCGGGTGGGGGGATGGGCACTCAGCTCTGGTCACTTGGGAATTACATATACTAAGTAGTCCTATAAGTGATGGAGTTGAGCACATGGAAGGCAGGCTGTCAGGCAGACCGGCTTCGATTAATCTTCCTGCTTAACATGCTTTGTTTTCTTGTCACTCCCCCACCTCCCGCTTGCTTCCACGTGACAGCATCTAGACCTGTCTCCTTTTTATCGGCTGCGTGGTATTCTGCAGTATGTGTATACTGCTCATGTAGTCCATGAAGATTATCGATCACAGTTTGGAGAGAGCAACTTGGGCTGAGTGTGTGACGCTGGAGTGTACATATGTGTGTAGTCACGTGCGTTCTTAGTGTGTTAAATCTCACCTGTCACTGATTTAGGCTCCCTTTGGCATTCTCGATTAAAGGCGAGGCTAGAGAAAATGGATACCTCCAGCCTTTGATAGCTAGTGAGAACTAACAGTTTATAATTGCTATGCAAATAAGACAGACCTCCGTGTGTGAAATGTCTTCTTCTCCATTTGGGATTTTAGGTTCAACCGAATCTCTCAGTCCTAGAGCACAGACCACTATTTCTCCAGCAGATCTTCATGGAATGTGGTATCCTACAGTTCGACGAACTCTCGTCTGTCTCTCCAAATTGTACAGATGTATAGATGTACGTGTGTAAATTCTTATATCTTTACTGTAAATTGCGTGCTCTTTCACTTAAAATATTTGTTTAATTTAAATTTTAAGATCTTGATATAATATATTTTGTTTGGTATTACATGAGAATAATAAGATTTTTAGATAACAGAGATAACTTTAAGATCAATCTAATTTAGAGATTCTTTTTTTCTTTGCGGTACACGGGCCTCTCACTGTTGTGGAGCACAGGCTCCGGACGCGCAGGCTCAGTGGCCATGGCTCACGGGCCCAGCCGCTCCGCGGCATGTGGGATCTTCCTGGACCGGGGCACGAACCCGTGTCCCCTGCATCGGCAGGCGGACTCTCAACCACTGCGCCACCAGGAAAGCCCCCTAATTTAGAGATTCTTAACCTGAGCATTCTGTAGACCCTCAGAACCCTCTGATGCAGGGGTCCCCAGCCCCCAGGCCATGGACCGGGACTGGTACCGGTCCGTGGCCTGTTAGAAATGGGGCCGCACAGCAGGAGGTGAGCGGGCCAGCAAGTGAAGCTTCATCTGCCGCTCTCCATCGCTCCCATTACTGCCTGAGCCACCAACCCCCGATCCCATCCGTGGAAAAAGTGTCTTCCACGAAACCGGTCCCTGGTGCCAAAAAGGTTGGGGACTGCTGCTCTAATGGGCTTTGGGTAGCCTGTGAACACCTTGAAGTTGTGTGTAAAATTTTGTCTGTATGTTTGTATTTGCGTCTTTCTGAGGAAAAGACCTATAGCTTTTATCGTTTCTTATAGGCGTCTATGGCTACAAATAACATTTAAAACTACTGATTAATTCATCTGTCTTAGTTTATAGATGAAGAAAAAGAGATGCAGAAAGGTTACGTCCAATGTCACATAGGTATAATATACATTTAGTACTAAATGCAACTACTTTAGTTTTGCACTCAATTTAAATCAGCTTCCTTAGCAAATAGTTGTCGGACTTCATGTTTCTAACCCTGGACTAATTTTAATTATTTGCTGAAATTAGCAGTACCCTTTTAGTTTTTTTAGCCCCAACTTATACTGTGCATTTATTTTAGGTAACATTTATTTTAAGCATTCCAGTTTAATGATATGAGTATCAATTCCTGAATGATCAGATTTGTCTACATTTATTTAGTGTCAGTGTTAAACCCAAAATAGTTTATAAAAATCAGTGATTTTAATTCACTTTGTTTGTTTGTTTGTTTTGTTTTGTTTTTTTGGCCATGCCGCACGGCTTGTGGGATCCTAGTTCCCCGACCAGGGGTTGAACACGGGCCACAGCAGTGAGAGCACGGAGTCCTAACCACTGGACTGCCAGGGAATTCCCTAATTCACTTTTAAAAAATTAATTTGATTTTTACAACTGAAACAGCATATAGAGAGAAGTGATTAAATATAATGGTCATGTAATGAATTGTCCAGATGCCACTGTTTCTTAAGAATATGGTTCAGAAGGGTACATGTATATCTCCTCCCACTCTGAGATGCGCTGTACCTCAGAGCCCTCAGGCCTGAGCAAAGTTGCACAGTTGACTCATTCGTTCATTAGAGTGCTCACGACTTGGTGTCTATTTTAAACTGCATCGTTACTGGAGTTTGTGCTTGCAGATTTTGAAATTCAACCAGAAAGTGCCTTTTGCTCAGTTCTGGGACTTCTAGGGGTGAGGCCAGATCACCTCTGCAGAATTAGATGTCTCAGCCTTCTGCCCAGAAAGGGGGTTTGGACATTGGCAATTTTTCTTCCCCAGGTCCCCCCAGGAGGTGTATTGAATGATGGTGTTAGGTTGGGATTCAGAAACTCCCTACAGTGGAGCCAGGATCCCAAGGGAAATAATGCAGAGCCACATTCCACATAGAACCCATTGTCATCACAGACCCTGGTGAAGTCTCTTAGGTGCTTAACAGGAATTTTAGCCAAACAGGAGGTAGGCCCAAGGACGTTACTCTGCCTATTTTTAGTTTCTGCCCTAGGCCTGCCCATTACAGTTTCACCTAGCTTACATCCAAGTCTTCTCCCTCTCTATCTTACCAATCAAAGGTGAGGAGAGACAAATCCAATGAAAACCCCATTAAGGCTGAGCAGGCGAAAGAGAGGGCCTCAATCTAAGCTGCGCATATTCGGTCTTCCTAGCAAGAGGCAGCCCTCATCTCTTCCTACTATACAGTAGCCTCATGAGAAACAGAAGTTAGGGAAGCGGTACAAAAAGAGAGTAAAGCATCACGTATGAGACCAGAGCCCAGAACAGGGCCTAATAATAAAAATTTTGCTCCTACCCATCCATCAGTTCCAAGGGAACTGACAGGAGTCCCTTCTGAGACCAACATCCCACACCTCTAGGAAGATATAGAAATGGCAGAATTAAATTAATCATGCTTCACATTCTATTTTGTAACCTGATTTTGTTTTTACTTAATTATGCTTTATAAGAATTGCACCACCTCCTATTTAGCATTCTTTGATTTCATGCACAGTGTTCTATAATTTAGATTTACTAGTATTTTATTTGTCAGCCCCCTATCATTGAACATCTGAGTTATTTCCAGGTTTTTTTGCTGTTTTAAATAATATTGTGATGAAGAGCCATGTGCATGAATCTTAGAATACAGTACTGATTTTACTAGGGGTACATTTTTAGAAGTGGATTTACTGAGGCTTTTTTTTTTTTTTTTTGGCCATGCTACGTGGCATGCAGGATCTTAGTTCCCTGACCAGGGAGTGGAAGCTCAGAGTCCTAACCACTGGACTGCCGGGGAATTCCTACCGAGGCCTTGTTATAAAGTTGGTTTTATGTATCTAAAAAACAGCCTGTAACATGAGATCATGCTGGAGTGAGGGCTCCATGAGGTCAGAATCACATCTGCCTTGTGAACCTACCACTGTACTTCCAGCATCTAGCACAGAGCTGCATGAAATAGGTGCTCAGGAAATATTGTGGAAGGGTCACATGAGTGTTTTGGGAGATGCAAATTAGGAAACCATGTGCTGGTCTAGAAAGGTTGCATGGGAATAGGAAACTCCAGGAGGAATACTGGTAGTAATAAATTAATCCGTCAGATGAGGGCAAGCAAGCTGTACTCAGAGCCTACGATTTCCTTTTTTCTGTTTTTGAAGTGCTGCAAGGTGATGTTTCTCTTTTATTTCACCAGAGGGCAGTATTCCAAGGATTATCACAAGAAGCCTTGGCGGCCTGCGTTCAGTCGTTACTTGGAGCATCAGAGTCTATCAGCAAAAAGAAGGTTTGATAGAGTGTTAGATGAAATCTTATCGCCTATAGTAATATTGTGGGATGCAGCATTAATTTATAGGCACAGAAATTTAAAGCCATTTTGGCAGTAGGATTTGTTTAATATGATTTAATTTTGAGGCCCTTTGAGAGAAGCTAGTACTTCACTTTAGTGCTCAATAAAGACTGCTCTCTGTGAGAGTGCCAGGTTCGCTAAAGTGCCAGAAGTGATACTTAGGTTATAAATTCTATAGGATGAAGGTTTCTTGTTCTAGCCTTAGCAACTGGGAGGTACTGGACTGCTGTTTCCTCGGAATACCAAAACAGTGTTTTCAAGGAAATGTAGCAATTTATAATCATCCCTGCAATGACATTTTAAAGAGTTGAATGGCCTCACTTGGAGGGAATCAGCCAGTCAGTTTGGAAGACAGGCAGTTGTGGCCCGTGGGTTATGTGACTAGAAGTAGTTGCCATGATTTTGTAACTTAAGAGTTTTTAATCGAGAAGAAGGGGTCTGGGGCTGAAGGCTGTTGACGTGTGCTTCTCCCACGGCCCCTGAGACTTTTTTCAGAAGGTATGGTTCGGAGTGCTGCTCTACCTTGCTCTCCACTTAGAATACCTGTTGCCACCTACAGGGAGGAAGCTGTCCGGGGTGTGTCCAGCCAGAATTTCATAGCTGCTGGGAGTTTTCAAACCTGTGAACCTTTCTGGACTTCCAGGTTTATAAACTTGGTTTCTAACTTCAAGACTTTAGATAAATTAAAACCAAAAAACAGAAATCTCCTCACAAAAGAATTTGGGACCATAGAAAAGCTCTATCTTTGTTTGTGACCACCATATGCTCCCATTCCTGAAATCGAGAGTTGAAATGAAATTTTGACAGGGGGACTAGAAGAGAATGGAAAGTTAGGTTATAGACAGGCAGGTTGAAGTTTAAAAAGTATTTCCAAGTCTGAGCGCTCACATTTTTTTATGGTATGGGAGGTAGAATTAGGAAACGCTTGTCTAATATTAGGGAAATGGTTAAGTAAATTGTGGTATATTCCATATAGTGGAATATTACACAGACATTAAATTTAAAAAAATGAAATAATAAAATTTAACTTAAATATGTTAAGGCAAAAAAAAAGCACAGGATACAAATCATATATACACTATGACTTTATGTAATGAACATACGTGTTAAAAAAAAAGTAACGGTGAAAGCTTTTGGGTGACTATAGATGATTTTTTCTTTCTTCTCCTTACACTTCCTTTACTTTCCACATTTTTTACAGTGAGTATGTATTTCTTAGATTATCAGAGGAAAAAAATGACCTAATTGAAAAAAAAAGTTCATATACTTATGTCCTCTTGTACCACTGTCCTCTTTTTAAAGGGGAGAGTGAAAAGCCTTTTGATTATTCAGTCTTTTGCCCTCATTGCCTGTAAGGCTATTCTCTTTTATTAACTCAGTTTCCTTCATATTATAAGGTGCTTAAGTATGTATGAGGAAGCCCTCAATTTGGTAATAATTAGCTAATTTATTTTCATGACTGAGTTTATGCTTTTTGCCTTTCAACTTTTAAAAAAGTGATCAATGAAAACGGCTTAATGTCTTAGAGAATTTCTTAGGGCAAGAAATTCTTCTTACATACTTAAATTGAGTACCTAGTATATCAGTAAACTAACACAAAGCTGGATCACAACAGCTTCAGTAAATTCAATCTATATTATACCATTTTCTCCATTGGAGCTGTTAGTTCTTTTGAAAATAGAGCAAGCATTCAAAATGTGTAGCATTTCCTACTTACCTAATGTTCTGTGTCCCAGAGTACAAAGTGAGTTTCCATCAAATAAATCGTACTTATATGTTGATTCTGTGTTTATTTAGGAGGGAGGGAGGCAGGGAGAGAGAACAGAGAAGAATCACTTTAATAATAACCTCTTTAAAGTTTATACAGGCACACCTCATCTCATTGTGCTTCGCTTCATTGCACTTCACAGATACTGCGGGGTTTTGCTTTTGTTCTTTACAAATTGAAGGTTTGTGGCAACCCTGCCTTGCACAAGTCTATTGGCACCATTTTTCCAACAGCTTATGCTTATTTAGTGTGTCTGTATCACATTTAGTTAAGTCTCTCAATATTTCAGATTTCATTATTATATTATGGTGATCTGTGATCTTTGATGTTACTATTGCAAAAAGGTTACGACTTGTTGAAGGCTCAGACGATAGTTATTTAAAAATACTTTATCGCTAAAGATGGCTAGCATTTTTAGCAATAAAGTATTTTAAAATTAAGTTATGTACATTGTTTTTTTAGACAATGCTATTGCACACATAATAGACTACAGTATGGTGTAAATGTAACTTTTTTTTTTTTTTAATAAATTTATTTATTTTTGGCTGCATTGGGTCTTCGTTGCTGCACGTGGGCTTTCTCTAGTTGTGGTGAGCAGGGGCTACTGTTAGTTGTGGTGCATGGGCTTCTCATTGCAGTGGCTTCTCTTGTTGCAGAGCACGGGCTGTAGGCACACGGGCTCAGGAGTTGTGGCCCATGGGCTCTAGAGCGCAGGCTCAGTAGTTGTGGTGCACGGGCTTAGTTGCTCCGCGGCATGTGGGATCTTCCCGGGCCAGGGCTCGAACCCGTGTCCCCTGCATTGGCAGGTGGATTCTTAACCACTGCGCCACCAGGGAAGCCCTAAATGTAACTTTTATATGCACTGGGAAACCAAAAAAATTCATGTGACTAGCTTTGTTGTGATAATTACTTTATTGCAGTGGTCTGGAAGCAAACCCGTAATGTCTCTGAGGTATGCCTGTATTGCTTACTGAAGGACAACTTTATTCTTTTCCTAATGCAGTATAATTTCATTAAAAATATTTTCAAAGTAAGATTGCGTCTTGAGTAGCAGCAAGAAGGAGCAAACATAGCCTAGCTCTTCTTAATATACAGACTCTTTTCTGAAATGAGGGCCATGATTATTCACTATTTTGGGACTGGGTCGGAGCTTGGGAACTAAGCTTGATTCACAAGTCTCTTGTGGATGAGTCCTGAGAGGGTAGAAGGAAATGCAGGGCCTCTCAGGGGTGTAGGTAGTCAGTGCTCTGTTGCTGGCCGGATAATCCAAAATGGTAACCCCAAATCATTTTGCATTTGGAGGCTCCTTTTGTACTTCTGTATAAATATGAGTATTTCTGATACTCTGTGTATTGAAACCACTCTGACCAAACAGTGAAAGCCAGGTTCCTGAGAGAAACTAGGAAGCCCTGGGAGATCAGAGTCGTGCTCATACTTGGAGCTTTTAATTCCTGCTCTGTGCTGATATTGGACCACGTGGTTTCTTCTATTTCTGCACCAGGTTAGAGTAGATTTGCCTTCTCTTTCTAAATGCTTTGCTTTACAACCTTTTTGTCTGATTTACTTCCTTGGGTTTACTAAATAGAACAGGTGATAGAGTTAGTAAGAGTTTGAAGCAAGATTTTTCCAGATAATTCTAACATGGAAATATGGGAAGAGTTCATCGCACAACAAAGGGGTATTGGTACCATATAGTTAGGCTAAGGGCCATAGACCTAGATTAGATGAATGTTGATTAGTAACATGTGTTTTATGTGCGCCTATTTTTATTTCATCTGTGATAATATCCATTTTTCTGTCTTTCAATTTAGACTCAGATTGATGGACAGCTTTTCTTAATAAAGCACCTTTTGATTCTCCGTGAACAGATCGCTCCATTTCACACTGAATTCACCATTAAGGAAATTTCCCTGGACCTCAAGAAAACTAGAGGTACTCCATTGTCCTGGCTGGCACAGTTGGGTATGCTGAACCTGATGTGTCAGCACAGGTCATAGGTTTGTCATATGTTCATCTGCAATTTGCGTGCATGCTCTGCTTGCTAGGCGTGTTGCCCGTCAGCATCCTAGCTGCATCTAACTCGCTGGATCTTCTTTATGGAGAGAACTATATCTGGGCATCTCAGCTTGCAAAAGAGGATTACCTCTCTTAGACTCTGCCACATATTACCATAACCAGTTAAAAAGTGAAAAATCACTATAATAACTACCTAAGAGTGTCGGCTAATTGGAGTGATTTTAAACATTGCGTTGGGTTTGTTAGTTCATAGAAACTGAGACAGCCAGCTGGGTAAAATAGGAAGAGTACTTATCTAAGAGTCTGAGTCAGGTTCTGTGCCTGGCCCATCATTTCCTGGCTCTTGTGATCTTAAATGTGTGTTTTAGCTTCCCTACCCTGTGTAAAACAAGCAGAATCCGCTTGTCGTGATGCTCTCACCAGAGTATCAAGACCATTAAGAGTGAAAATAAATGAAAATACATATTAAAGTGCTTTTGTAAGCTTAAGGTGCTTAAATAAACTCAAGTTGTATTATTATTAAATCAGCTGGTCGTTAAGTAATCATGTAGATAGGGTCTTTGAGTTGGTAATAGACATGGAATCATCTTGGGAAAGGTGATTCATCCATCCTGATGGTTTGTTTCTGACTGAATTAACAAGTAATGATTTCTAAAAGATCAAAGTAGTTATTTTCTAAGATGTTGATCTTAAACAGTTAAGGATATACCATAAATATCCATCTCCTTTAATTACTTAAAAATTTATCTAAACTTTATCTTTCCTTAACCATTTCCAAGAGAATTAAGCTCTAACACCTTAAGCTGTCTGTTTATGGAATGAATGAATTTCTCGCTTATGTATTGGGGGAATTGAGAAAATTCATAGCCATTCAAATTACTTTCTGTATTCTGTGGTTTAGAGGAACTCCACATAATAGGATTTCCAAGAGGAGCAGGTTCTTACTTTCCTAATGACTGTGTTTATAAAATAGCGGACTTGATTTAACTCACCTGAGAGCCAAGTCATCTCATCATGAGTCATATTAAAACAGCTTATTCTTTTTCTCTTCCTAATGCACTCTCCTTTTCACCACAGGGAATACCTTTTGGTTCTGGTGACATTTATTTATTTATTTATTTATTTTTGGCTGCATTGGGTCTTCGTTGCTGCGCACGGGCTTCCTCCAGTTGTGGCGAGCGGGGGCTACTCTTTGTTGTGGTGCGTGGCCTTCTCACTGCGGTGGCTTCTCTCGTTGCGGAGCATGGGCTCTAGGCACGTGGGCTTCAGTAGGTGTGGCTGGCAGGCTCTAGAGCGCAGGCTCAGTAGTTGTGGCGCACAGCCTTAGTTGCTCCGCGGCATGTGGGATCTTCCTGGACCAGGGCTCGAGCCCGTGTCCCCTGCGTTGGCAGGCGGATTCCAAACCACTGCGCCACCAGGGAAGCCCTCTGCTAGTATTTAGATAGTAAGCCTGTATGTTATTCATATACTTTGTAATTTTGTTTTTAAACAGCAGCCAGATTTTCTGGCTTTTGCCCTTATAGAATGCATACGTTTTTTAGTTTATTCTCATCGGAGGCTGCCATCACGCAACCATTCTGGTTGATTTCCTGCTTTCCATTCAGTGTGAGGTGTGGAAATAGGGCCTTAACCTTGAGGAATGCCAGGCGCTGATAGTCCTTACTTTATTTAAGTAATGGGACGAAGCAGGGCTGATCTATTTTCTTTCGTATTTTTTCGAATTCATAATTTGTTGCTGCTTCGTTCTACTACAGATCCACTGAGGTGTGAGAAAATGAAATACTCTAAAATTTTGGCAAATTTTGGTATAAAGTATGTTTTCCCTAAAACCTTATGAGGGTTATGTAATCCTGCCATATGATCACCTACAATTGTTCAGGTTTCTTACAGAAAAGACAACAGAAACAAAGAGTCATTTACTAAAGCTTTACTCTGAATCTGATAGAGAGGTGTGTTTTTTGTGTTTTGTTTTCCCAGTAAGATCAGGATCAAGGCAGGGAGTACAGTCTGGTGTGTTCTTGTAAAACCAGGGTTGGAAGCATTTCATGCTTTGCTTTCTCCAGCCTGCCAAGGCAAAGCAAAGAAATGATCTTTTCTGACTATCACTTAATAATACTTGCTATCTTTACTTTTAAGCCTCTAACCTCTCATGACTAACGTTATACCTTATTGCATTTGAACATCAATGAGACCTGTTTGTACTTTGCATAGACTCTAATTAGTCTGGAGGTTAAGGGGTAAATATGTCCTTTTGGTGTTTTTCTTCTGGCTGACACATTAGTTTATTCTCTGCTTCAAATGAATAAATTTC